CCCGGCGAGGGGGGCGCGATGGCGGTCCCAGCCGATTCCGAGCCAGCCGGCGGCAATAGGCAGAAAAGTTTATCAGAACCTGGCTCAAAATGACACGTTTTTCAACATTGGTACCAATATGCGTTTCGAAGTGCGCTGATCAATTCTGTACCCATGAAAATTGTTCAGTGATTTATTGTAAAAATTTGCCCTAGCAATTTCTCGTTTACACCCAACTTCCTCTTTTTTTGAGCTGATTCCGCCACTATCCGTAAATATCAACTTTCCGAAAATTTCAAAATTTTACACCCGCTCCTAGTCTCTTTTGTTTGACGTGATTGGGGCTGGGGGGAGGGGCAGGCGGGGCCTCGTGCCTGGCCCCGACCCTCGAGCAGGTATATTGCCGCCCCCAAAACAAAAGAGACTAGGAGCGGATGAAAAATTTTTAAAATTTTTGGGAAAGTTGATTTTTTAGGGGATAGTGGCGGAATCAGCTCAAAAAACGGGAAGTTGGGTGTAAACGAGAAATTGCTAGGACAATTTTGACAATAAATCACTGAACAATTTTCATGGGTACAGAATTGATCAGCGCGCTTCGAAACGCATATTGGTACCAATGTTGAAAAACGTGTCATTTTGAGCCAGGTTCTGATGAATTTTTCTGCCTATTGCCGCCGGCTGGCTCGGAATCGGCTGGGACCGCATCGCGCCTCCTCGCCGGAGCCAAAGGTAGCATCCGCATAGCTATCCCAGACGTCGACTGCTACTTTCTCCGTCTGTGCCGTCTGTCACTGCAAGCGCGACAGAGACAATGCTAGAGCAGGTAGCGTGGATGCACCCCGGCAGCCAGGCAGGCGCGAGCCCCAGACGGCCGGGCGCATTACAATGGCAGTCTGGCAGTGCAGTGCAGGGCGGGCGGGGCGGGGGAGGTGCGGAGGGGGCACTTCGGGGGCCGGTCCCTTGATCAGGCCTGTTTCCCTGCCCGCAGGCAGCCTTCGGCGTGCCAGTCGCCGAAAAGTCGCTTTTTTTCGTCTCGGCGTTTCCCAAATTACGGCCACCCCGTTCAAGATTTTGACTTGAAATTTGGAGAGGCGTTTGGCAACGAGTAGGACTACGCGTGTACGCACTCTAGAGTTCTTACGGATAAGTCATCACCGTAAGCTACGGACAAAATTGATTCATTGTAATTACGGATGGGCTTGTCCATATTACGGAGTTTGACATCTGTATTACGGATAAAAAGCATCTTCAGGTTACGAGAATTTCTGTACGGACAAAATTATCCGTAAATACAAACACAACTATTGATCCATAATTACGGCTACTAAACCCATCCGTATTATCAACTCAACTTGTCCGTAATCCTGATCTGAACCTACCAATCCATATTAACATCAACTTAACTTCAATATGAAGACTAATAAGGTGCAATATAGTTTCATTAGTTTTCAAACTAAGAATAGTACTTTTCCTGTATATTGCATCATTCACCTATTGATTATCCAAACTAAAATCTTCTAAGTGCCATTTTGGCCGTAGTCCAACAGTTATTAAATGACACTCTAAGAAACCTAACCTAACATTTTTATTGAAGAAAGAATTGAAATATAAACAAAAGTATTGTTATATTTATAAATGTATGTTGTTGGGAAGCAGAGAATTTACCTGTGATAATAAAAGCACCCCCAACGTCTCCAATCCTCCACAGCAGATAAGTGTGTGTTAACATGACTGACAGCCGTCCAGTTTTCGCAGACACAAGCATCACTTCTCAAAGAATAAGTGAATTAAAAACTTTTATGAACCAGAAACTTGCAAATCATCGTAGTTTCTGATTTTAAACCAAACTAAACGAGGTTAATCTACACAGAAACAAAGGGGTGACTGTGAATGTTGGATTTCTCATACTTTCACGTATGAAAAGTTTAGCGGGACGGTGTTTAGAAAAAATGAAAACACTCCGCTCCGCTGTTTGTGCTGCCGATTTTAGGCACAATTAAGGCCTTCACAATTGGTGTCAGCGATGGTGTCTCATTCCCCAAAATCCATCAAGGATGGCATTGTTTGCAAACACTGAAGAAGTCAGTGCATGTGATTTTTGTTGTCACTCGGTTCTTCCAGCATACGGTATCAGATCAGCAGACAGTATAACCTCACCAGCGCACCAACTTCAAAAGAAAACATTTACAGTATAGCTTGAGTATGGTAGAATGTTTTTGGAACTGCCCACAATAACTGGTTGGTTAGATTGAACAGTTGCTCAGTATGATTATTGAAATGCAGTGATTTCATAATCAACACCAAATTTGGGCGGTAAGTACATCTTTTTCTGCTGTGGCCCTGCTCCACCGTTACCCAAGAGTGTCTATCGTATCAGCAAGTAACTCAATCAGTAGCTCTATTATGTGCCAAATAAAAGTAAAAGTGCTTGCTAGTGCATAAAAAAGATAATTGGCATTAAAAAGTATAATATACTGCTTATCTGTTTCCGCTTAGTATGGCAACGAGTAATTTATGAATTCTGTTTGTATAACGAGTGTCGATGAATGCAATTACTTCGGATTCTGTAAGACTATCCGTAGTTACAAAGCTACATCTGTTACGGACAAAGCCATCCGTATGTTACAAATCAGGCTATCCGTATTACGCTTGCGCAAAAATGTTTGTAAGGTACGGATGAATTTGTTTGTAATACGGATGAAGTAATCCGTAAGAACTCTTGAGTGCGTTGGGAAATTTTCGATATCGTGCCCAGGAGCCGAGATACGGCGGTCTCCGTTTTTCGAGCCGATCACGCCAGTAGGCAAACAGGCAATGTCGGGCCGGATTTGACCGGACCGGGGGCGGGCCTGGTCTATTACTAGTCTCTCTACCAAGTTTGAAATTTTTTGGCCAAGCCGTTTTCGAGAAATCGCGATTTTCATTTCGGTCTGCATTGGCTCCCCGCGCCGAGGCACGGCCGGCGGCCGACCTGGAGACTCCTGTTAACGGCGCCAAGCATGTGCTTTTAAGGGGGCAATACACTGAAAATAGCCAAAAACTGACTAGTGCGATTGCTTCCATACGCGTTGTTGTGCGTTGTTCAAACTTTTCATGTGTCAAGACCTTACAAAAAGAAACATTTTAAGCCCAGAATGGCGTCGATCGGACGTCAGGGAGCGGAGCAGCGCCCAATCAATTTTTCGTCAAAAGTCGAACTGGCGGGCGTCCCTCAGTCCGCAAATAAATGAAGATATCTCAACCCCGTTTGCGCCAAAATGTAGGTAATTGAAGCAGCTATCGCATGAACTAGGATTATGAACATCGAGCAACCGAAAGTACAAATTTCCAAAATTTCATCCAAAAACACTTTTTGAGGATTTTGCAAAAATGATCAAAACAGTTTTTTTTTCGTAAAATTTTGTACTTTTGATTGTTCGATGTTCATAATCCTAGTTCATGCGATAGCCGCTTTAATTACCTACTGGCGGGCGTCCCTCAGTCCGCAAAAATGAAGATATCTCAACCCCGTTTGCGCCAACTCAGTTTTGGGCCATTTTCAGTGTATTGCCCCCTGAAGTGTGTACTTGCCAAGCGTGCGTTTGAGAACTTGGCCTCACACAACTTCCGTGTCCCGCAGAACTGCCCAGGACGGCGGCCCAGCTGACGGCCGACCTGTCCAGCCCTTCTTCCTCGTGCTCTGTGACGGTGCGGCGCGCTGCTGGGGGGCCAGTGGCGTGGATCGGCGGGATGCGGCCCGCGGAGGACGCGGCGGCCAGGCTGCTGCTGTGCCGACTGGCTTGCAGTGGAGGGCTGCGCGCGCCGGAGCAGCAACCTGGGCGGCAGCAAGAAAAGGGCGATATCGGTGAGGTCCCCACTCTGCATGATCCATCCATCCTCTCTCCCATGACTCATTGATAGCCTTGTCGATGCAACGAATTCTTTCCCGCAGCCCTAGTCTGGGAGGATCGCTCCAACCAGGCGGAGGTGGTCGAAGCGAACGCAGCCAAACAGGTGACCATGAGCGTGGGCAGCAGGGTGGCGCGCGGACGGGGCTGGAAGGACGGGGACCAAGACGACGGCACGCCCCCCGGACCCGGCACTGTTATAGCGTTCGGACATATACTGGCGAACGGTGGGCAATGGGGTGATGGAGTAAGCGTGAAATGGGGCCACACCGGCAAAACAAGCTCCTACTTAAAAAAGGAAAGCTCCGTAGTACTCCGTTTGCTGCCGCCCGAGCTGGTGAGTAGCAGTCGAAAGGGTTGCAACGCCAATCTCAGCCTCCCGAGGAACACCCTTAACGGGTATTTCTTCCCTGGGCCGTCTTATTATTGCTTACTTTCCTGTTTTCAGAAACCACACATTGGGTCAGAGGAAGAAGTCCTCGACGTCGCTGCCATCAGTTTCTGCGTCGACATGAAACCCAAGGGAGAACTACTGGCACGCACTAACTTCACAAAGGTACACACTAAATGTTTAGGTAGAATTTTGTACGTGCCACTTGCACGATTTTGTGCATGCGGGGAATTTGCATAATATTATGCGTGAAAATGCATAAATTTATGCAAATTCACGCACAATTTTATGCACGACGGCACACAAGTTTAAAATTGTGCATCACCACGTACAAAATTGTACCCAAACATTTAGTGTGTAAGGTAGCGGCGCTGGTTACTGTGTTCATCGCAGAGTTCTATAACTCACCGCAACACTAGAGATGAGTTTCTTGATGGGTTAGTGAAATACGTGACAAATGACCAGTGAAAAATAGTGGTAAATTTACAAAGAGTCAAAAAAACTACCAAGTACTCTTTCCGAACGTCATAAATATACTTTCAGAAGTAACTTAACGTTTCCTAAACTTGTTAAACATGTTGAAATTTTCAACTTCAAAGAAAAAGAAACGTTAAAGGGCTACATTGAAGACAAGTAACATTCTCGGCCTCGTCGTATTGACATTATTGGCTGAGCGGTTAGACCAGCTCTTATTTTGCGAAAGTGAGAATTCCGCTGGGTTCCCCGACTCAAAATGACCGAAATGGTGAGAAAACTCTTAATTTCAAAGCCCAAGGTCGTCAGACTTACCAAAGCCGTGCCCCAAAACCCTATATAAAGGAAAAAAGCCATTTTTTTTTTCGGACTTTTACCAAACTAAGTTTGACTTTAGGGTAAACAGGTCATAATACGATCTTTGGGCGAAAATTTCGTCCGTTTTGCGATATCTCGACTCCTTTATAACCGCGAGCATAAAAAAGACGCCGCGCGGGCGGTTGGGGAGGCCGCTTGGGCATGAAGGAGTCGAGATATCGCAAAACGGACGAAATTTTCGCCCCAAGGGTCGTATTATGACCTGTTTACCCTAGAGTCAAACTTAGTTTGGTGAAAATCCGAAAAAAAAAAAATTGGCTTTTTGTCTTTATATAGGGTCTTGGGGCACGGCTTTGGTAAGTCTGACGACCTTGGGCTTTCAAATTAAGAGTTTTCTCACCATTTCGGTCATTTTGAGTCAGGGAACCCAGCGGAATTCTCACTTTCGCAAAATAACACACTAAATGTTTGGGTACAATTTTGTACGTGGTGATGCACAATTTTAAACTTGTGTGCCGTCGTGCATAAAATTGTGCGTGAATTTGCATAAATTTATGCATTTTCACGCATAATATTATGCAAATTCCCCGCATGCACAAAATCGTGCAAGTGGCACGTACAAAATTCTACCTAAACATTTAGTGTGAAGAGCTGGTCTACTGAGCGGTAGCTGGGGTTGAAAAGTTTTTCCTGTCTGTGTGTCCGCACTACTCCTCCTAAACGGCTCGGCCGATTCTGCTGACATTTTGCAGGGTCATTAGGCATATCTTTGGCTTACCACACTGAGAATCTAAACGCTATGAGTATAGCGTCAAATGGTACGATGCAAAAGCATTGTATGTGAAGTGCAATGCCTCCACAATCCCATGCATTCATACTGAATGTTTTGGTTGAATTTTGTACGTGCAACCCGCACGATTTTGTGCATGCGTGGAATATGCATAATATCATGCGTGAAAATGCATGAATTTATGCAAATTCACGCACAATTTTATGCACGACGGCACGCAGGTTTAAAATTATGCATCACCCCGAACAAAATTGTACATAAACATTTAGTGTGTTAGCATAGGGCATTTTCGGGACGCATTGCACGTAAGGTGCAATATGGCTATCGCATTGCACGTATCGTGCGATATTTCAGCTGCATTGCACCATACGTGCTATACTCATAGCGTTTGGAATCTCAGCGCACACACCAAAAGTCAGCTTTTTATCTCAATCCATGTGATCATTACAGCAAAAAACACTTTAAAAAAGAAATAATTTTTTACTGACATGTGTCGTCATAACAAGTTTAACATCATTTCTTATGTTTTGGAGGGTGCTGAAAATGAAAATGATATCCACTTCAACATCTGACCTAGGTTCGAGACCAAATGGGACAAAAGTGAGCCAGAATTTTAGGGGAGTCAAACCAAAAATGTCGTGTAGTTTGACCAGCGAACCAACCTCATCGCCCCGCACATGACAGGGGGGTCTGGAGGGCAGAGTCCCCCAGTATAAGTTGGGACTGAATGCGCTGCTATGATGTGCGATCAGGTCTCTTTGTGTGGCGAGAGAGTCTGCCGAAGGCAGGCCTCCGCCGCAGGCCAAGGTAGGTGTAAACGCCAGGCGCGTGCATAGTCGGAACTGGCGCAGCATCGTGAAGCCTGAAACGGCAAGCCACTGTCTGGCGTACACCTACCTTGTATCTGTTGCCAAAAAGATTTTACTGCAAATGTTTACTGATTTCTTATTACGCTGGTAGAACTCAAGCGTACTTTTACGCCTTTCTTCTAGCGTAGTAGAACTACGCTCGGCTTCAAGCATACACTGTGGCAAAAAGCTACGGAATATTCTGTAAACAGCTTGTGGTAATTCTCCGTAGCCCCCTAATCAATATTCTCCGTAGGCTCTTACAGTATTTTCTGTAGGACCGCACAGTATTTTCCGTAGGACCTTACAGTGATCTCCGTAGGACTATACAGTCTTCCATGTCCTACGGACAAGACTGTGCGGACTTACAGAGAATACTGTGCGGCCCTACGGAGAATACTGTAAGAGCCTACGGAGAATATTGATAAGAGGGCTACGGAGAATTCTGGCAAAAAAAATAACAGAATTTTCAGTACCTTTTTGCCACAGTGTAGTTCTCCATTTTGCTCCTCTCCTGCCTATCTAAATGCACGGGAGAATTTCTTCTCTACGCTTGACGCCGAGCGTTAAGTCTTCAACCGTAGTTTTATGCTTGAAGGAAGCATACAACTACGCTCCACACACCAAATGTTATGTACAATTTTATACGAGACATCACAGTTCTTTGTGCACACGAAATTTTCGTACAATTTTCGTACGAAAAACTGCACATTTTTCGCTATTTTTGTACAAAATTGTACAAAAAGTTCGTGTGCACTAAAAACTGTGATGCCTCGTTCAAAATTTGTACAAAAACATTTCGTTTGCAGTTTTACCAGTGTAGCTTCACTGAGATTCCAAACGCTATGAATATAGCGTCAATTGGTGCAATACAAAAGCATTGCACATGAGGTGCAATGCATTCCCACACTGTGGCAAAAAGCTACGGAAAATTCTGTAAACAGCTTGTGGTAATTCTCCGTAACCCCCTTATCAATATTCTCCGTAGGCTCTTACAGTATTTTCCCTAGGACCGCACAGTATTCTCCGTAGGACCTTACAGTGATCTCCGTAGGACTATTCAGTCTTCCAGGTCCTACGGAGAAGACTGTGCGGACTTACAGAGAATACTGTACGGCCCTACGGAGAATACTGTTAGCCTACGGAGAATATTGATAAGAGAGCTACGGAGAATCCTGGCAAAAAAATTAACAAAATTTTCCGTACCCTTTTGCCACAGTGCATTTCCATGCATTAGCATAGGGCCTTTTCGGGATGAATTGCACATTAAGGTGCTATACGGCTGAGGCATTGCACGTATGGTGCGATATCTCAGGTGCATTGCATCATACTCATAGCGTTTGGAATCTCAGTGTTCGTACGATTTTGTTTTAGGGTGTTCAGTCCATCAAACCTAACTAACAGTCATTTGCAGCGTACTCTTTTATTTCTATAGCACCTATTGACATCTTTAAAACGATCAAAAATGTGCTGACTTAAAAAGAAAATACATGGTACGTTTTACGTCTGCTCAAGAAACTTTAAAAGCAGGAGAAAAAAGTCCATGTGGGTCTGAGAGTGTTAGGACCTCTGGTGTCGAAAACCCATCAAATCCACTAAGCGATGATGGTGCCTTGTTCAGGTGCGCACGCTTCTCGGCCTGCACTGCGACGTAGAGCCTGAAGCCTGGAGCCTGACAGTGCTGCAGCAGGCCGCGCCCCGCCTGAAGGCCCTGCAGCTGGTGTCGCCGCAGCAGCAGCACCTGGACGCGGCCCTGGCGATGCCGCTGCTCGAGGGCCTCTGCGTGTGCAACGTGACGGGGCCGCAGCTGCAGCAGGTGGTCCGGATGGCGTCGCTGCGCCGCCTGGAGCTGCACTGCCCGCCGGACGCCCCGCTGCCGGTGCTGGCGTTCCCGGGGACTGCCGCGGGGCTGCGGTGGCTGCGCTGCGGCGTGCACCCGCTGGTCACGGCGCTGGCCCTGGTGCGCGCGCACGCCGACACCCTGGAGGAGCTGCAGCTGGTGGCGGCCTCCACGGAGCCCTACGGCTGCCCCGACCTCGCCAGGGAACTGCAGCGCTGCGGCCTCAAGAAGCTCAAGAAGATGGTGCTGCTGCGTCGAGATGCTTACGATTCATTATGTCGCCATGATGAGAAATCTTGCAAGAAGCAAATGACACAAATTACGTACTTTTTCTACGAGAGTGACTTGTGTGTGGATGTGCTGTGCAGTGTGTGCAACGAGGGTTGCGAGAAATGTCATGCTGTGTGATTGCTGACTCTCTTTTTAACGTCTGAGTTACGTTTAATGCTATTCCAATATTACATTGATAATGATCTTTGAGAGGGGTCTATTCTAAAGGGTTTTGGGTTTTGCATCCATTATTTAAATAGTTTAATTTAAATTCTGAATGAAAAGCCTGTTCTACGACACATGTGACCTGTGGGTTTCGTTTTATTTGTTCATTTTCTGTCCGATGTTTTTTTGGCTTCAAATTAAATATTTGAACAGTGGCCACGCTCAATAACAATTTACAAAAAAAACTGATTTTTTTGCAGACCATTGTTAATACACCTTTCGTGCTGTGTAAAAAACAGAAGTGTGGTACACGTGGGTCTTTTTTGGTCCCATTTGCAATTTTAAGCACACGCTGGATGATGATTAAATTTTGTGTCCACCAGGTGGGACACATTGTCTAATGAAATGCAGTTAGCAGTCTGCTTTGGACGTGTGATATTATGTGTCAAAGCTATGACTTTTTGAAGGCATAATTATGCATGCACAGATAGTCGTAAGGTGCACCTTACGTGCGTAAAACATTATACATCACTGTGTACATTTCAGGCCAACTTTCCTGCAGGGCGTGCTAACGGGAAAAGGTTCTCGTGTCCCCATTGAATACGTCCCTGCGACAATTCGTCCCCACTCATTTCGTCCCCAGGCATAAATTCCTCTTGTATAAATAGGGCGTCGGTCCTATGACCCAACTTATGTCCCCATTCTTACCTCTGCTACGTCCTGACTACAGTTCAAAGTTTTCAAGATTGGAAGGCACCTGATTCCTCCATCTATTGTACCAATAACAGGAAAAGTAGCGATAACCATCGGCAACTTTGGCCCGTCCCGTATATTAGGAGATGTGCGAATTTTGCCTATGTTTAACCCCAAGGGGATTTGACCCTGAGTCTGGGGTCAAAATAGATGTTATTTTCGTCATCAGCACCCTCAAAACTAGAAATTATGCAAAAACTCGAATAAAAAGAATATTCAAAATATACCCCACTGGGATTTGAACCCGGGTCCAAACTTCTCCGATTCGCTTCAAACTGGCACCTTTAGGGGTAGGTTGGGTAAGAAAAGTACACTCGAGGCTCGGGTAAGAAAAGTACACCCGTTATATCTCCGAACTGAAACTACACTGAACCATCACGTTAGTGGTTTTAGAAAGATTGGTCATCCCGCTGACAAAAAAAAAATTTAGCCCAGTCTACATATAATATTTAGAATCAACTGCACGTTTAAAAAAAACATTAGAAATAACTATAAAAATTTTTTTTAAATGTTTGTACTTTGAAGTACAGCTTCCTGCAGAATCACCGACAGTCCAATGTAAGGTACCACCTTATAGTTTAGTCCATCAGCTTTGAAAAACAGTGCCGTTCGATGCTCTTAGGCTTCAACACAATTTTTATAAGTGTAAAAATGAAATGGGAAGAAAAGTACAGTCGCGGGGGAAGAAAGTACAGGCTTTGGGAAGAAAAGAACCCCTCTAAGAAACTAAAGGGGGATAAAAATTTGAATTGATCAGGGAAAATAGATTTGATTAGGCGAGACAAGCAAAAAATGTCAACACATGTTTAGAATTAGACTAGAAATGAACAAGTTTTTGGGGCATTTACGTAAAAAGGGGAAGAAAAGTACAAAAATGCTGTCCCACTTACCTCTGGAAAAGGCTTTTTTGGACCTTCTATCATGAGTCCATGTAGAATCAGAACCAATTGACCGATTTTGACGAAACTTGAACTAATGGCAAGTGAAAGCTCTCCACTTTATGGGTAAACCCGTATTGAGCCAAGATTGGCGGTCTCCTGGTTCGAAATCGCAATTCTTTTTGTTGTACTTTTTTTTCCCGTGGTGTACTTTTCTTACCCCTTTTTGAGGAGTTCCGAAATCACATACGTTTTGGCATGTTGTACGTAATGGTTTGGGAAATATAATCAAAGAACAGTGATCCATTTCATTAGGAAGGCATTGGATTACAAGTTCACGAGAGCGAATAGTTAATCCTCATTTGAAACTTCTGTACAGTGAAAAGTACGCGTTTTGTACTTTTCTTCCCCACCTACCCCTAGTTTTGTCTTGTCGCCCTGATTCCAAAATCCCCCTACATGCCCTGCTAGCTGTAAGGAGGGTGGGGTACAATGGACACGGGGCACAATGGGACACTGTCAAATTAGCCACCTTGGGGTGTTCGTAGGATCTGCGGGTTACGCTCGATATGGGCCCAGCATTGCCGGTTATTTCCAAAAAGCGGGAATTTATTCGACTGAGCGTTCTTTCGGCAGGTCGAAGCGAAGTGCAAATGTAAGAAAAACGAGGTAAAACTAGCAAGACCGGAGAATTTTGTTTTTCCTCTAGCTTTTAAAGTATTTGTCGCACGTTCGTAGCGTTTCACCAGTGTGTTCGTTGGTCTTTTGAGGTTCAGTGAGCTTGTCTGGGAGCTCTGGTTTTTGGGGGTTAAAGAGCTAGAGCGTGTCCAGTCCAGCGTGTCGTTCGGGGCACAATGGGACACCCTCGTTTGGGGCACAAGGGGACGTTTAATAAAAGGGGCTTTCAAGTTTTAGTTGTAGTTTATGTCTAAATGAAGCCAAACCATACGTTATTATGTTATTCACAAGAAATTTGGCATCAAACATTTCATTTGCGCTTTTACTGTATTTAAAATTGCATTTTCTTTTATTTGTTACACATCTACTCCGGAAATTTTTTTTTAAAGGGAACCAGGAACGTAAGTTCTTTTTCAAAATAGTTTGTGACAAAATAGATCAAAAACCCATTGCCCACATTTTTGAATGCTCCTTCGCTTTATTTTTAGCTCATAAAAGGGTGTGTCCCAATGTGCCCCAAGGCTTTCCCTTGTGCCCCAGCCCCGGGGGACAATGGGACAGTGACACTTTTCGGCAAATGTCTCCACAGACCAAAAATGCCCTAAAATCAAATTTTTTGGTCAAATAAAAGTTATAGACAATAAACAAAGAACATTTGAGCTATCGGGCGGCATTTTAGCTCCAACGGTCTCGGATCTAGGCCAAAAACAAAAAAAGCGTCCCATTGTACCCCACCTTCCCTTATCCGTTGCCGAAATCCTCCTCGACCCTATGTAGACCATGATGCACCTGCAGCAGCGCCCCCGGGGCTAGGATCGGATTTGCTGCCACCGGGCGGTTCTTAGGATCACCCAGGGAGGCTGCATACCAAATTTGGTCAAGATCGGACCACGGGAAGTCCTCGGACGGACGGACGAACGGACGGACGGACGCACAGCAGGGATCATACTATATGCCCGTCCCTCCGTCATTTTTTTTACAAAAAATACACGGGACGGGCCAAAAACGGGCGATTGGTAACGCGAGGTAACTCGCTTTTTTCTCCAATTAAGGGGAGCGTAAAGTGAAATTTCGAAATTTTTCATGTTTTTTCAGCCGTTTTTTTCTTACATATTGGTCTCCCTGACATGAAAATGGACATCACCATTGGATTCTCCATGCCTTTTTACCATTTTACCATCTTTGGTTGCGCGTCTGGTGGCACTTTTTGAACTATCGCAAACATTTTAGTTTTGGTCCTATGTTTTTAATCCTTGCGCGCAGTATTTCAAATCCAAATGCTGTCCCAAAAAATATGACGAAGTTGCAACATCTTTTTATGGTCAAAATGAAGAAGACAAGGGAGCCGGATTTCAAAAACATGTTTTCTTTCGGTCTTAATCTTGAAAACTAGAATCATGACTGTTTTTATGCCGCTTTTGGACATTCATTGACCTGTAACTAAAGATTGAGACACATTTTTGACAAAAACACTGTAAAAAATCATCGTGAATTTACGAAAGGTTTTGATACCAATTCATTGTGAAGTAACAATAACATTTCGTCATTTTATGAAATTTATTTGTAGAGGCCGTTTTATGAATTATTCATCACAGAAATCTTCTTAATTTTATGAAATTTGTTTGTGAACACCGCCTTATGAAATGGTACGAACGAAATTCATCTCAAAGGTGACTACCACGTGGCGTTGGGGCCTCCGGTCAACGTGGTGACTCACAGGGTTGTTAACGTTACTTTTCAGCATTTTTGCACAATTTAATTTGAACAATTTGCCAAAAAGATTTTTTATTGTATTATTTTGATGTCTCTGTTGCAATAGACTCTCAGGAGTTCAAATATTCTAGAAAATTTTTTGGTTCGTTAAATTGTGATAGGGTTGGCCCTAGGAGGACGAGAACCCAAAAGTAACGAGTAACGCGTTACTTTTGGGTTCTCGTCCTTCTAGGGCCAACACTATCAGAAATTTCAGCGAACCAAAAATTTTTCTGGCATATTTGAATCTTTCTGAGTCTTTTCCTTCAAAAACATTCAAATAATAAAAGAAATGTGTGCAATTTCATTGAAAAGTAACGTTAACCCTGTTTACTGAGCGACCACGATGACCGGAGGCCTCAACGCCACGTGGCAGTCATCGTGGTGGCCCTGGAAGAACGTCATCGGGGGCCTCCCGGTGTCGCCGACGACGTTACCCAAATTTAGAACGACGATTTTGTGACTGCCCAACGCTGGCTCGTTACCTGAATTTGAGCGACGATGCGTGCGTCACCCAATGAAAGGGCGATGGTGGTGACACTTTCATTCTCAGTGACGTGCTAGCACCACTAATGGCCGAAATCCTCCTCCGGCTCGTGTAAACCTTACCTTTTTCTGCAGTTT